CCCATGATTCAGCTGTCTTTCACCATGTCAGTCAAGTGTGGTGACGAGTGAGAGCTGACAGCGGTTCATGGGTCACCCCAGCAGGGAACCGTACAGGCCGTGGGCACCCAACATACAGGGTATAGAACCTGCCCAAGCAGCTTGCCCATAGTTACAAGTGGTCAGTGTCAAAACGTGAGTGGGTATCTGACTTTATGTCCAGGAATCTCCCCGTCTTGGCCCAGAAGTTTCCAGATGTTGCTAGAAGATCTGCTGGGGTGAAGGGGGGCTTTACAGACTGTGCCTCCACATACACACCACAAACACACCTAATAATAGCTACTTACGTCTTCTTCACTGGAATTCAAGAACGGCTGGACTTTCCCTCGGGCGTTTAAGACCCCCCTGTCAGTTGAGAGGCACTGAGGACAATGAGATGTCTGGTTACAAAGGTCAATGACAACCAACTCCTCAGAACAGCCACTTTCCAGAGAATGGGTGAATAGGCAAACACAGCATGGTTCCAGCCAGAATGGGGGAGGGCGGGCGCAAAGCTACTGTGGAGAGCGAAGGGGTCATACAGGAGCCAGGGAGAACTGAGGCGAAGAGGTAAACCAGCCTGGGGGATGGGGGATGAGACCACCAAGGGTCACTTCCAGATATATACCCTATAGATACTTGTCAGTGTCTCAGGCTCTGCCACGTCCCCCAGACGACATCAGATCCCCTGGGAGTGGGTACTCCATGTCAGAGGACTCCGGGAGGTATGTAGGAGTGAATAAAGTGGCGTCACAGGAGCCTCTGGATAAGTGGAGAAGTTAAGGATGATGGGTTCAATTCTCATTCACTGGTATTTATTCAATAAATTGAGCTCTCGCACCAAGCACCTTAAACAGAAGTTGTTTCTCATTTTCTTATTTTTCCTCACATGTAATCAATGATTGGGGTGGGGGGGGAGGGTATAATCACAGCTCTTTCTACTCCCAATCACATGACAGAGGGAGTGGATGCATGCACAGCGATCACTTCCAGGTTAATTCACAGCTGGACCTTACTCTACTCTAGGGCCAGGAATGTAATCCCACCCTATGCCTACAGGTATGGAATTAAAATAGCCCTCCTGACTGGAAGAGGAATCATTCATCTGAGAGGAGACTAGGTAGAAGGTCCCTGAAGTGTGGTTTGAAGCCTTGAGCTGACCCAGGGGAGAGACCCACAGCTGTCCCATTCTGCCTCTGCCAGTAAGAAGGTCTTAGGGCCTAGTGTGGCTGCATTTCCAAGCCTCACCCTTCATGACTCGTCAGAAACAAGGGTGATGCCATCTACAAGGGTAGATGGAGGTAGATCGCTTCCATCTACTCAGCTCCCGTGTTGTGGCTCAGCTGGTTCGACACCAGTTTGGTGGGGAGATTAATTACCATCCCCAACACTAGAAAGTAAACATATACACTCACTCTTGTTTCCTGTCCCTTCAAGGTGAGGTAATGAACCACACTGGAAGAAAAGTACTGGGGTGATGAATGTGGGCAGGATGAGACGGAAGGAGATCTGGAGGTAGGAAGGGATGAGATGCGTTGTGTGTGAGATCAGACTATAAATGTGTGGGAGGATATTGTTAAAGGATTGATTGGGATAGAATGCAATGCATAGGGTAGGATGGGATGGGATACATGGGATGGGATGCATGGAATGGAATGGGATGGGAGGGGATAGAATGTATAGAATGAGATGTATGGGCTGGGATGGGATGGGATGGGATGCATGGGATGGGATGGGATGGAATGGGATGGGATGGGATGGGCTGGGATGGGATGGGATAGGGTGGGCTGGGCTGGGATGGGATGGGATGGGATGGGATGGGATGAACTGGAATGGAATAGGAAGGATGGGATGGGGTGAGATGGATGAGATGGAGAGGGATAAAATCAGTCATCCCGACTGGTAGGAAGATTACACTATACACAGCCTGGCTTTCATCTCAGGATACCTTGGTAGCCTACGTCCTCTGCTAGCCTGGCTGTACCAGGCAGCCCCTTCCTCAATTGCTCAGCAAGTGCCAGAGATATAAGAGAGGGAAGGAAAGCGGTTGGCTCTTCAGGAGGCTGGCACCAGTCCCAAGCAATATGTTCCCAACTTCCTCCTGCGTGGGTGGCAGCGACACGTCCCCAGCCGGCCCCCACGCCTCTCACCAGCCGTCAACGCGCCCTCACTCTCTCCTTGTGTGTGTTGTCAAATCTTCCCAATATAGCAGCCTGGAGTCTGTCAACAGTTCTGTTCCGTGCCCACTTTCTCTCCCCCAGAGGAGTGCGGAGACAGCCACCTCCCTCAATGGGTGTGTCGCTCATTGTCTCCATCACAAGTTGGTGTGTGGAGACCCCTGTCACCTTCTGGGAGAAGGCATGGTCTGGGTTTCCTGGCATAGGGTAGGACCCACATCAGAAGTAGTTGAAGGACTTTAAGAGGAACCCAGGGGACTGGAAGATTGATCAGATGTGGGCGGCAGTGGAAGTTGCAGGTGATGCTCATATTTTTTGACTTGCATGATTCAGGGGAAATGGCACGCACTCAGACAACAGACCCTAGACAAAGGACTAGCAGATCATGCTCTGGGGTATCTGTGACGCCTGTGATCCTTCCAGTAGGGAGGTGTTCCTTATGCAAATGCAGACTGGACACTCAGGAAAGAGTTCTGGGTACACAGAATATGCCAGAAGAGGATATGCCAGAAGAGGAATACAGACATCCACAGGAAACATCATTATATACCCATTTTTTTCATGGGGGTATAATTAGTACAGAAATCCCAAGCCCTCACTTCACAGAACCCCTCTGTATCTACTATAGGAGGCCAAAAAGTCTGACCTCGACTAGTCTCCTGGCTGGGTCTCCATCCTTCAGGTACTATAGTAACCAATCAGCCACCTCTCTCTCTCTCCTCCCACTGTCTCTGTCCTGCTCTCTAAGGAGCAGACACAACCTTGTCTGAGCATCAGGAGTCCTAGGTCTCAGCCCCCCATCTACCAACTAACATCAAGGTCCTAACAGGTCAGTTTCTTTCAGCCTCAGTTTCCTCTGCTGTAAAATGGAGCCATCATGGTAGAATAAGGCAAGGCATACCAGTGCTTTGATATGGGGAATTGGGAAAAGATGCCTCAAAGTCTGGCAGGCTACCTCAGTCCTGTGTCTCCATCCCCAGCAGACCTTGTCAGAACCTACTCCCAAAGGAATGTGGCACCATCTCCCATCCCTACTGCTTCCCCCTCTAGAGGACTCCAGGATTCTTAGTGGGATTCCAGGACACTGCTCAGGGTTCCTGAAGCCTCCACAATCCCCCTGCTGTGTGGTTCACCAGGTGACCCCACAGGTCAGAAGCCACCACTAATAATGCTCAAATGGTGACATTTATTGCAGTATAGGCAGCCCCTGCTTAGCTCTTGGGGCTTTGGGGAAATGTCAGACACAGAGTGAATCACTTTTTATGATGTCTCCAGCAAAATGCTTGCAGTGATCTCTCATTTGCTGACTCTAATTGAGGCCTCCCAAGGAGCTCAGACCCTTGCCCTCCCCTCCCCACAGTGCAGACTTGGTTTCAGGTTGGCCTCACCGTCAGACCTACCTTCACAAGGCAAAGGTCAGCGAGCAGAGTTTAAGATGAGGAGAGACTCTATGGTCCTCTGAGGAGGCAGACTGGGGTGGGGGAGCCCTGAGAAGTGAGCCAGTACCTCTGTGCCAAAGAGGAAGTGTCGCTCCCAGGCTGTGTAGATGTTTGTTACTGTGTCTACCTAGTTCCCAACTGTTCCTTCATTGGGAGGAGACACAGAGACCTGGTTGCCTGAGGACAGAACCCTTGGCCACTGAGGGTCTTCCCCTGAGGGTCATCCAGGCAGGACTGGGGAGGACAAGGAATTAGGTAGCACAGGGGCCAGAAGCCGCCTTGGCTCTGTCGGCTAAGGTCCTAGAAGGAGCAGATCTGCAGGAAGAAAGGGAAAATGCCAGGGAAGAGGGAACAATCACAACCACACTGGAGTCCCTGGAACCCACACGGTGAGCCAGCAATGTCTTTTTGCCTTAACTGCCTTGAACTGAGTCTCTGTTTCTTGCCCCACACCGTGCAGTTCCACAGCTACATACCTGTTCTCTCCATCAGCACTCTGGAGGCAATTCCCTCACCTGTGCTGTCTAATCTAGGTGGGTCTGGAGGGTGTCACCTAGAAACTAGGGACTCGGTGACCACACCCTTCCACCCAGCCCACACCCACATAGGGTGCAGTACCACTCCTCCACTAGCCCCCTGTGGTTCACTCTCTTCTGCCCTCTGCTGCTCCTTACTGACCACAGGGAGCCGCTGTGCCAGCTTTACAGTCCTAGGACAGGTTGAGGGCTGCATCAGAAGAACCAGAATTGGTGGCATACCCAGCACTCCGGAGGCAGAGGCAGGCAGATCTCTGAGTTCGAGACCAGTCTGATCTACAGAGTGAGTTCCAAGACAGCCAGAGCTACACAGAGAAACCCTGTCTTGAAAAAAAAAGGGAGGGAGGGACAGAGTGGGGGAGAGAGAGAGAGAGAGAGAGAGAGAGAGAGAGAGGAAAGAAAGAGAGAAAGAAAGAAAGAAAGAAAGAAAGAAAGAAAGAAAGAAAGAAAGAAAGAAAGAAAGAAAGAAAGAAAGAAAGAAAGAAAGAAAGAAAGAAAGGGAAAGGAAGAAAGAAAGAAAGCCAGAAGCCACAGGATTCAAAGAATAGTCCCAACAGAAAATCTATCTCCAGATATAGGAACTCATAAGAAAACAAACAAGCAAAACACAAAACAAAACAAAAAATAACTTTGTCTTACCTACAGGCTGAGAATTCTCCTGCCTTCCCTAGGATGAGACTAATAGTAATATATTATTACTATTATATTACATATTAATTATATATACCATAATATGTATAATGAATATATTATATCCCAAATACAGTGGGAGTTGCCCAGCAGAGAGACTTTCCTTCCAGTGAAAACAGGTTTTTTTAGGAGGCTAGGGTAGTAGGATATAGAGGCAGAGCCCTGAGGAGGGAGTCTGAAGAGAATACAAAAGGAGAAAATAGGAAGGGTACTGTAGCGATTCCGGAAGCAAAAGGGCCCCCAGCGAGGTAGGATTGAGCCCCAGTGAGCAGCGCAGCCTCTCTGGGCCTGTGTGTCCCCAAAGACTGTGGGAGGAAGGAGCCTTGAGTGTGTTTACTGTTTACAGAACACTTTAGCACATAATACTGCATTTGATTTCACACCACCTGGTGAGGTACCCTCTTCACGTACCTTTCAAGACAAAGAAATAGAGATTCTGAGAGATGCAGTGGCTTGCCTGAGACAAGTTCTTTATGAACAGAAAAGCCTAGATCCAGTCCAGGTCCCACCTCCAGTCCAAGGCTCCCACCAAAGGATGCTGTCTCTGTGCAGGCAGGGTTTGCTCTTTGTGGATCTAGCCATGCAGAGAGACAAGTGTGGCTTGCCTGGGCTAAAGGAGCCAAGGTTGGAGCTTTTGACCCTGTGGCTGTGACTTTAAGAAAGCCACTTAGCCGCGCTGAGTCTTCCCCATGATGTATCTCATGGAGGTGTTTTGGAAGTCATCTGTCTATGTAATCCATCTAAGGCAGGGCTGACATTTACTACATCTGATTATAATGGGCACATAATTTAACCCATTTATTTTCCCAAATACATTTCTCCCATGGAGTTTTCCTGATTCCGTGACTTCCTGATGAACTCAAACTTAGATCCACCCCAGAACTCCACCACATCCATCTAACCAGAACACAGAAGACCCCGTGGACCTCTGTTCTTTAGGGTAAGTTGATAGCTTCAATGTCGCACGTATTACACATGGAAGTCTGGGTCTACAGCCGGGTCAGTTCCATGATTCTGACTCCCTTGGTCTGTGGCCTCTGGGAGGATGGTGGAGGCTGGTGAAGATACAGAAATCAGTGCAGATGCTTTGCAATGGTCCAGGTGAGAGGCAGTGGTGGCACACTACCAGGAGTAAGATGGTGGCCACGAAGGGTAGACTGTGGCTCTATTTAGGAGGCTGGCTTACAGCAGCGGCTGATGTGGTGACTCGCTGAAGGGCTTTGAGCTTGAGCAACGAAATGAGCGATGCTTCCTTCTCTGAAATGAGAAGAGGCTCCAGGGAGAGCCAAGTCAGAGATCTGCCTTAGCCCCGCTGGGCTTGGTGCCTATTAGATCCTCACAGGGGACTTAGGGAGAGACAATTTGGCAGATGTGTCCAGATGCAGGGTGAGAGATGTCAGCATAGAAGTGATACTTAAGCAGGGGAGTTATATGGCGTGTCCTGGATGGGAAATGGTCCAGGACTGACATAACAGCCCTCCCTACAATGTTCAGAGATCCAGCGGGGGTGAAGAGGAAACATCTCTGAGCTGGAATGTGGAGTCCTGGAAACCAAAAGGAAATGAGATGTCAAGAGGCAGTGTCCATGAAAGGCTGAGTGTGAAGAAGGCCAGGAAGTCTGGGCGATGACCTTGATGAGGACACAGCTATATGCAACACCCACCTCTGCGCCTAGTTAGGTCCCCATTTCTACCCCATCCCTTATCCTCTCATAAAACTTCTTCTGAGAGGTGCATGCTTTTAATCCCAGCACTTGGGAGGCAGAGGCCAGATGATCCCTGAGTTCGAGGCCAGCCTGGTCTACATAATGAGACCTTGCCTCCATTTTTTTTTAATTCTGAGACAGGGTCTTGTCATATAGTGCAGATTGTCTTGAACTTGAAATCCTCCTTTCTTAGCCTCCTGAGCACTGGGAGTGCAGGCTGTGTTCCACCACACCAAGCCCATGTACTTGGTAATAATGAGAAAAAGGAAGCCAAAGATCTTGAAGTTTCAAGACTCCAAAGACACACACACCTGCCCCTGTGTCACAAACCACCCCCAGGTGCTCAGGATGGGACCACTGCAGGAGCAGGAGGCAAATATGGAGAGAGGTGGTGGTTTTTACTACAGGCTGGGCAGGGGAGGGTGGCTCACTTCCCTCACTGCTGTTTGTAAGACTGGGAGCCTTCCCATACATGCTCCTCTTTGTGTCACCATCCAGCGTATGAATATTTAAGTCCTATGTTAATCACTGGAGATCTGGCCATGGACAAGATAAGGCTTTGAACTTGACCCTGGGAAGTTTAAAGGGAAGCATAAGCAGAGGTGTCAGTGGCTCTTCTTGGCACACTGTGACCATGTCCTGAGAGGAAACTGTACGTGGGGGCTCGAGGAATTCCAAAGGGCCAAAGAAAACCTCACAGAAGAAGCAGCTTTGGTCAAGGCCTTGAGGAATTACTAGGTGTCCAGTCGATAACAGGACTGGCATCCCTAAAGAGGGGCCGGAACAAAAGATATGGTCTGGTGATTGGATGAGTGTGTTTCAGTGGAATGCCAGAGCCAAGTACGAACACGCAGGAAGTGAAGAGGTATAGGGCCCCAGTCTTCACCAACATAAACAGAGAGCTAAAACACTCAGACTTTATTCTGTAGGTCAGCATTTCTCCCAAGAATCACCTATAAATGTGAGACCCGCTTTGGTCTGCAAAAATCAATAAATCAAAAAGTCCCAAGATCAAATGCATCAGGGGCCTGCAGGGCAGCCCCCTCCTCCGGGAGATTCACTGTGTGCCTCAGCAATTAGATCTAAAAGTTCAGACGAACACTGCAGTGGAAGACTCCCTGCTTAGCTCTAAGACTGTGTCCCGGGCTCTCCTTGTCTCTGTACTGCCTGCCATTCCTGTGTGAATGATTACACCTCAGTCACACGGCGGTAGGTGGCAAGCCAGGGCTGGGGGACCACTTACCTAAGCCGGAGACTGATGCCTGTGCACACAAGAGGGCAGGACCGTATTAATCCTAGAACCCCCAGGTGGGATCATCTCTTTCCTAGGACCAAGAACAGTTTTGTTTACTTTGTAAGATATCTAGCGAACAAATCCTCAGGGCCAGTTGTACTGGTGCTTCTGTAGAATGGGAAATTCAGACATAGCCTGGCTGGAGTCCACTGAGTCATACAGGCCCCATTCATACGATCCCTCAGATGGAGATGTGAAGGAAAAGAATTCAGCTCTGTAAGACAGGATCTGGAATTGAAAAGTGGTGCTTGGTAAGCCATACCTGTGAGACCTGAAGAATGGGTGGGAATTAGCTAGAAGGGTATTGGGGCGGGGGGATGGCATTCTGACCAGAGGGAGCAGCATATGCAAAGGCCCTGTGACAGAAGATAAATATTCTAGCCACATCACAAAACAGAGAGAGAGAGAGAGAGAGAGAGAGAGAGAGAGAGAGAAACAGTGCCTTCCTGATCATTTAGCAACTATTATTGACAATCTTGTTTGTGAGAAATTAAATGCTCTTAGCAATCTAAAGTTTGGAAAGCTCTGAAAAAGTTACCCAGGAAATTGGCCAAAGGAACAGGTGTGTGTGTGTGTGTGCGTGTGTGCGTGTGTGTGTGTGTGTGTGTGTGTGTGTGTGTGTGTGTGTGTGTGCAGATGCATGTGTACTCGGCGGGGCAGGGGATGGAGAAGCATCAGGTATCTTCCTAAGTTGATCTCTACCTTCGTCTTTGAGACTGGCTCTCTCAGTGAACCTGGAGTTCATGGATTCCACTAGGCTGGCCAGCCAATGAGCCGCAGGGACCCACTTCCCTCCATGGTCCCAGTGCTGGGGTTACAGATACGTGCCACCACACCTGACTTTTACATGGGCATGGAAGATCCGAACTCAGGTCCCCACACTTGCACAGCAGACACTTTACCCACCGAACCCTCTCTCCAGCTCTGAGATCCACTTTTTTACTACTGAACAAAATGGTCCCAGCATGCATTTCTCCCATGTGACCCAAAACCCTGCCATCCCAACAAGGCCCAGAAACCTTTAGTTCTCTTTGGTGTGACCTGCATGGGTTTTCTTCCTTAGCTGAACTCTCTGGTGTCCGCCACTAGAACCTTCTCTATGCCCTGTGCTGGTCCTTTGCTTTGACTTCCCAAAGCACCCATGGACGCAACACTGCTCCTTAGGAGAGAGTGTCACTGAAGGTTTCAGAGCCCTGAGACAACCTGGCAGGTAACTGAACACTGAACAGATACTCTCAGGCCTCAGCTATGGCTCTCATTGCTCATCTCCCACCATGTTGTTCGGGTTCTCATCTCCCAAAGCCTCTTTCTATTTCTGGGGAACACTCAACCTCCAGTGGGACAGACAGGGCTACCCTGTCTCATGGCTGCTTGCCAAATCCATGCCCTTGGAAGAGATCATCTTTAGCCATTCACTTTAGAGGAACACGACACCTCTTCCCCCGAAGACCAGAGGTTTGTCAACAGTGATTAGTCAAAGCCTGTGGCTGCTTCCGAATACCCTGAGGAAGGCGTGGTCATCCTTCCATTTCATAAGTCAGGTGGTGGAGGCTGAAATGGTCATTGAGACACAGAGCCAAGATTCAAGCTCCAGTCTGAGGATCATGTGATCTACCTCAAGGGTTAGGGTGAAAATTCCATAAATTGATGTGTAGAGAGGGAGCTGGAATGTGGGACCTGCCATGGAAATGTTAGGAATTATGGGGCTGCTGTTTGGGGTAGATTCTAGTCTCTTTGGAGATGGGAAGGCTAAGCAGGGAAACTGAGGTAGAAAATTAGCTCGTACAGGATAAAGGGAAGCAAGGCCGGAAGGGTGAGGGGGGTCTTCCTAGGCACATGGTCCACTGCGGCATATCCAGGATGGGTGCTCTACCTGGTGAGGCGGCCCCCTCAAGGCCTCCCTCCCTGGGGCACCTGTGGATGATCACTGGACAGGGTGCTGCAGGTAAGCCTTCGTGGGTGAAACACTGTGCAACCTTCGGGGTTGGAGGAAGCCAAGGTTGACTCTCAGCTTCGCCCCGAGGGGGTTATGTATCATTATCGCCTGTCAAACAAGATGAGCAGGTGCCAGCCACCTTCTGTGGAAATCCTCTCCTCGACTGCCCCTGTTCGGATTCTGTGTGCCCTACGCACAGCATCTTCAATGAAGCCCACCCTGGCACCTCTGTCTGTTCAGTCTTCATACTGTCCCTGGGAACTGCATCCACACCCACTTCCGGTTTCAGCAATCTGTGTCAGCCACAGGTCCCTGCCAAGTCTACCTGCTCCTGCACAGACTTGCTCCCTGAGCCCCGGATGTCCTTCCCAGAAGCCCTCTGCACACCTCCCCTCCATCCCTGGAGCACTGCCAACAGAACGCTACAGTATGCTACAACCAATGTGTGACCGTCGTCTCCCGCCTGCCCCTCTCAGCTCTGTGAAGGACATCAGCAGCTGGCTCCCACCCCTTCCTCTCCCCACCTCTTGCCCAAGACAAGGCCACCTGAGACTCTGGGCCTGTATGCATGCCTACCCTCCATTCTTCAGTCGGAGAAATGTCTGCCAAAGTATCTTTGACCACATCTTCTGCTCAAGCTCTTCAAGGACTCACCAATTTCTCAAGGTCAAGGTCAAACTTCTGTGCTTACACTGTAGGGTTTACAGCCCAGGGCACACCCTTCCTTCACACCTGCATAGACATTGGCCATGGTAATGCCAGGGTAGCTATCCCCAGGGTTCACCACCCGCCTTCTTGTGGTAGAACTGGGAACCAAGTCCTTCATCCTCAGTGGCCAATGGGGATGACAACATGAAAATGAGACAGGACCTGGACTGTGTCTTGTGGGAGGGGGAGGCAGATTGAGAGAAAAGCCATTGGAGGTGGTGACTGGTGGCAGGCGGGGAGTGCTGGGGCCCCGAGGGACACGAATCCTGGTCCCTTGTCTTGAAGAAGAGAGCTGGAGCGGGAAGGGCAGGTGCTGTCAGGGAGATGCCACCTCCCTTTTGTGACCTTTTCTGAAGACATTTTCCCTGAATGTCAAGTTCATTAGACACGGGACTAGGGGTGGAGGAATTACATTTTAGCTGAATTAAAGACGGGACAGACAGACTCGTCATCAGACTGCTGGTGACAGGCCAACTGGAAGATGGAGAGACACCCTCCCCCCCAGGTTAGATCTTCCCTCTCTAGTCTAGGGACAGAGGCCCCTGGGACATCTTCATAACTGTTTCTGTCCCGTTGCCCCAAGGCAAGCTGTACCTAAAAGAGACCCTTGTCCATGGTGCTCACACACCACCTGATCAAGTCCTAGATCCAGGAAGGGGCAGCCACACCCTTAGCCAACCTGGCCCTCCCTGGGGTATTCAAAGGGGGCCCCTGAGCTGGATGCCCTGTGACCTGCCAGATTCTGCCCTGCAAGGCCAACTGCCACCAAGATCTGAACCTGACTCAAAAATCCACTCAGGGTCCTGCATGCTGGGCACCAGATGACTAAATCAAGTATTTTCTCTCCCCTCAGAGAACTGTGTCATGAGGAAGGCCCACGGGTGCACAAACATTATGGGGGCCCAATTGGAACATGGTGCTATGACAGAAATAGGTATGAGGCAGGGGATTGCCCTGGAAGACAGAGTCAAGAAGGATTTCCATAACAAGTGACATCTGATCAGGGCTTTGAAGGATGAAGAGGAGTCGGTTACCTTGTTTGTTCTTTCTAGGAGGCACTGGTTTCTGAACACAGATGGACTGTGAGCTCCTGGCCTACAGTGTACAAGGAGACTCTGGGACCTTGGCCTTCAGGTCACTTTCCTGGCTGAGCAGCAAGGTCATGGCCTTGGAGACTACTGGCTTCTGCTCCCTGCCTCCCTCCTTCCTCCACATCTCCTCACCGTTACTCTGGACACCAGCCACCAAGGCAGAGGGCCTTTCCAGGTCTACTGAAGCCCGGCTCTCGGGGACTGAGTGACCGCATCATTGCTGTGGCTCTGTGTGGAGGCCTGGGACCGTGCTGGGACAGAGGAGGTGGGATGAGGCTTCGAGCAGCAGGCTCTTCTTCCTTTCTGAGCCCTTCCAGTCTTTGCACGCACGTGCGCACATGCTCTCCACCCTCGGTACCGCGTTCTTCGTCCACACTAGCTTCCAGCTCCTCAGAGACTTCTGCCAACTCCTAGCAATGACCCACCCCTGGCAGAAGTTCCTTCCTCTTTTCACCTTTACAGAGCAGAACTCCCCTCAAGGACACAGCCACCCCCATCCCCAGTGCAGAGCAGCCCCAGGGACTCCTGGCTCAGCACCTCTATAGAGACTCAGCTGCCAGCCCGCCTTCACACCTCCCAGACAGCAGCTGTCGGCATGTGCTGGTGGCCAGGATGGTGGAGAGGAGAGTGACAGAAGGAACGGTTCGGGGGGGGAAGGAGAGGCAGACTGGGAGAGAGAGAGAGGGAGCACCTCACAGGGAAGTGGGGAGGACGAGGTGGCAGACAGGGAGACAGAGGGCTGAGGCTGGGGCACAGAAGCAAGGCCAAGAAGTAGAAGGCACGAGGCCGCTGCCCACCAAGAGTCCTGCCCTGCCATCGCTTCTCTCGGGGTACTCGCGAGAATCCAGAAGCTGGGCTTTCACAGTCCACGCTGAGGAGTGAGAAGAGGTAGCCTGGAGCGTACAGGGCAGGAGCTGGGCTGTCACGGGGCCTGGGGCCTGGAGGAAGCAAGGAGAAGTATCTCAAGTTCTGCCTATGAGCAATAAAAATACAGGGCGGGGGGAGAGACAGACAGACAGACAGACAGACAAAGAGAGATTCACCTGCATATAGTGTACACAGACAAACACATACATGGGCACCCAGACACAAGCAGGCACACACATAAGCACCCAGACACAAACACACACAGGCTCTGCAGGAGCCAAGTGCTTGGTGGTTCTGTTGTGAGAAGGTTCAAGTCTGTCTGTGGCCTGGGAGGAGGCTCTTCTCCTTCAGAGCCCCAGAGAGGCTGTAGAAGCCGAGTCAACCCAGCCCCCCACCCCAATCACAGGGTGAGTGAGTCCACACAAGGCCCCAGTGTGCCCCCAACCCAGCAGTTTCCCACCAATAGGAATAGAATTCTGGCAGAGCCTCCAGGTCCCCATGTACAGAAAGAAATCCAGATAGAGAAAGGACCTGCCCTGGATCCCTCAGCTAGGGCAGCCAGGCCATACAGAGCTAGGTCACATGGCCCTGGCCCCCTAATTCCAGGGATGGCAGAGGGATCTGGGAAGGTTGTGGGCACAGGATCTTCTCCTTGGCACCCAGACCTGTTATCCAGGGAGAAGCCCTTGTACCAGTCTCTCCCAGCCCAATTCACTATGCCCATCTCTGTCTGCCGTTGTCTGGGTGGGTGGATGGGAAGCAGCCTTCACACTCCAGTCCCCACTAGCCTGAATTCATTCTACTTCAGGCTGAGAAAATCAACACAAAGGAAGAAAGGCTCATTTGGGGATACAGTTATGAAGATCTTGGTCCACAGTTAGATGGCTCATTGCTTTGGGCTAGGTCCTGTGGTGAAGCATCACATCACGGCACAGGCATACTGGAGTAAAGCTGTTCACTGCACAGCAGTCCGCAAGCAGAAAGAGAGAGGCTGGGAGGAACAGGGAGGGGGTGGGGGGAAGAGAGAGACTAGGGTCCCAATAGTCTCTTCAAGGACACACCCCCAGTGAGCAAACTTCTTACTAGACCCCGCCTACTGAATCTTCCACCACTTCATCATTGTGCCACAGGCTGGGAAGTAAGCCTCTTTGCAGATGGGCTTTTGGGGGACATTTAAGGTCATCTCCTTGACCCCTCACTCAGCACCCCTCGGGTGCTCCAATAGGTTCCGCACCTGCAATAGTCCCTGCTTTACAGTGAATTAAGCCAATCCACACAAAGAGGCAAGTGTACAGTCAGAGCCATAGTACTGACCTCAGCCAAAACCATCATGGGCTAGCAATTCTGAAACTCCCAGGCACCATCCCTCTACCTTATCATCCTCTCCATCCAGCATGTGGCTGGCCAAGCTTGTCCCCATTCTCTTCCAACACCCCTCTCCTGGCTCCATCCACTGCTCAGCTAATGCCACCATCTGGGGCCCATCTGAGGGAGCCTGCCTGCTCAATAGAGTGGGGGCACATCTTCCATCTGCATCCTGGGGGAGCAGCCTGGCACTCCAAAGCACTCAGGACTGCCAGGGCATAAAACACAGCCCTGTTGGTGTCCTGCCAGGGAAGGCGTGGGCCATGCTACCTGAGGTACTCCAGAAAGGTCTGTGCAAAGAGGTGACTCCTGCAAAGAGAACGGACATAGCTTCAAGATGATGTGGGATGGAGTTACGGACTCACCTTCATTGTGGGGGCTTTGGGCAAGTTGGCTCAGCAATCAGAGCCAGTTTCTCTCTCCATATGTGGAGGTAATATAAGACAGATGTCACCAGAACCCTATGTGAATTATTTATGCAGGCATGCATGCCCGTGTGTGTGTGTGTGTGTGTGTGTGTGTGTGTGTGTGTGTGTGTGTGTGTGTCTTGCACATAGTTGTACCCATAATTGTCAAGTGTCCTGCTCTACCACTCTTCACTATGTTCTCTAGGGACAATCAGGGTATCTCATCTAACCTTAACTTTGACTGATCTTTACCCAGTCTTTACCCAAAGCTCCACACCCCTGCCCACCCATGGCACTGGTTTCCATGTAAGTGCCTAGCTACACTTGGCCCTCAGTTTCACATGGCAAGTGCTCGTACCGGCTGAGCCATTCATGCATGGCTCCTATTCATGTATCCTTTGCCGTCAGAACACGGCACAGGAAACATGTCAGCAGAAAGAACAATGAAGCCAACCCACCTCCAACCATCATTCTGCCTTCCCTCTTGCTCTCAGAGCCCAGTTCAGGTGGGTAATTCCACCTCCCAGATCCAAACACTTTACAGTGCCTGGGATGTAACCCAGTTCCAGCCAATGAGAGACAAAGGGAAGCTGCCGAGGATTCTGGGAAGGGTTTCCAAAGAAGAAGGCGCATGAGGGGAGCTGCTGGTGTCTGTAGTTTTCATCCTGTTCTCTTGGTCTAATGGAGGCACAAAGGGCGTTGGAGAACTTAGCCAAATGGCAAGCACAGGTGTAATGCCACCACCATCAAAGGCAGCAGAGGAAAGAGCGGAGCCTGGATCCCCAATCGGCTATAACCAACTCTGGGACCTCGTACCAAGAAATTCATTCCTGAATAGTCTGTCTCCTGTGTTCAAGCCACTTTTACTTGGCTGTGTTTGTGGTTGTAAACAGTCCCCGGAGATGGCGACCAGTGAGTGAGTGAGTGAATGGAAGATGAATTAATGAATCAGTGTCTGGTATCCTGCAAAACACTGTGCAAATATTTGTTAATATTGGCAATATTAATATGATAACACTCCATTTGTTTAACAACTCCATTGTTTATCAGCAAGGGGGCTTTTCTCAGAAGGAAAATTTCAAGATAATTGAAGTTTTTGGTTGTTGTTGTTTTTCCTCTTTAGGCTCCAAAATATGGTTTCGGTTTCAACCAGTTCTGATTGAAAAAATAACATCTGAATTGTGTCACACCCCCACCCATCTGTCCTCCCTCCCTCTCTCCCACTACAAAGGCGCCCTCGGCTGAGGCTGGTGAAAACGATTGAACTTGGCCTGTACGTTGTGCTTACTGACAAACACACACAGCTGAAGCAAGAGGAACCTGACATTGCCCTGGAGCTGGCAAAGGCGGGGGCCACGGGGCTACTTTCCAGCAAGCTTCTGCCTGTCACCAGACTGACTGCGTCCTGCAGCCCTCCTCAGCAGGAACACATCTCTCTGCTCTGGGCTATGAAGTCGGATCACCACACTCACTAGACTTGTGTGCAAAATGGATTTTTTGCAACGCAGCCCTGAGCAAGAGGATTTATTCATTGGACAAACCAAAATGATACTGGGAACCTACAAGGCCAGACAACAGAGGTGAAGAAGCTTAGGAATCAGAGGCCTGAGTTCAAACCATGATGGGGTGCACCCAGGCAGATCACATCACCTATCCCAGCCTCAATTGTCCTCATCTATGTAATGGAACTTGTCATAGTTCCTTCTACACAGTGATGGGGCAAGGGATGAAGAGTCAATGTGCTTGACACTCTTAGAACACAGCCTTTTACTTTGTGAGTGCTCCAACGTCCACAGTCATCATTTTTACCATGTACATCAACACAGGTCCACCCAGGGAAGTAGCAGTCAGACAGGCTGGCTGTATCTCCAATGCATGGGATCTGTCCTAACAGAGGATCACACACCTTGATTACCCAGGTAGAAGTCAGAAACCTGACAGAGGGAAGTCTGGGGGTGCAGCTCCATTTGTTCACCTAGCATGTTTGAACCCCAGCACTGTATAAAACTGGACACGGTGGTGCACACCTGTAAATCCAGCACTTGGAAAATGAAGGAAGTAAGACCAGATGTCATCCTCAGCTACACAGTGAATTTGAGCCCAGCCTGGGCTACATGACACCCTGTTTTAAAAAAAATCCCAAGGAAGGGGGTTATAACCCCAGACAAACAGGGAAAGATTCCCAGAAGTCCATGCCAGAGCTCAAATGTTAGGGAACAGGCTGGTTTCCCAAGGCTACCCCAAGCTGAACAGGTTACTACCAAAGACCATGTTCCCTTACAGCCCCAGAGAGCAGAGCTCTATTCCCTTTGATGCTCCGGGAATCAACCTATCCTTACCTTCCCCGGATTCTGACAGTGGTCAGCATCCTTGGTGACTGTGCCCATCTGATCCGCCCAGCTTCACGGGGCCCTCCACTCTGTATACACATGTTCTCTCTCTTCCATTGTAAGGGCAGCTCTCATCAGATACAGGGCCCACTGAGGGCGATCCAGTACGATCTTTTCTCAATACTCCCATTCAACCATGTTTGCAAAGACCTTTTGTTCCAGATAAGTCCACACTAACCAATCCTGGGGGTGAAAATACGACATATTTTTAGGGATCATCAATTACCCATTGTAGTGATGATCGGATGGGCAAAGGGAAGCTGGCCACGGATTCTGATAATAGGAGACCCCAATAGATGATGAGAAGGACTACAAGGAAGGATTTCAGGGCAAGAGAGGAGCTTGCCTGGTCTAAGCAAAGCGAGACCAGACAGAGGCAAGCAGCCTGAGGTTGCAGCACCCAGCAGGCCTTGGGTACTAGCAGCAAGATCATCGGGGTGCCAAAGTCTGCACTGTTTGAGGGATGGCTACAATCCACCTGAGTGCCCAGGAAATTTCTGCAGACACTGAGTGTATTCCCAAGCGTTACACCACTGTGACAAATACCTGAGGTCGATAAGCTTGAAGAAGAAAAACTTCCTATTGGCTCACAGTATCAGTGCTCCCAATCCACAGACAGTTGGCTCTGCTGCTTTGGGCCTGTGATGAGAAAGAGCATCAGCCATGCAAAGCTGACCACCTGACAGAGTCACAGGGCAGGGTGGAGGTCTCAAGACCATCCAATGACATGCCTCCAATGACCTCACTTCCTCCCACCAGGCCTCAACTCCTAAAGTGTCTGCCATCTCCCAGTAGCCCCACACACAGACTGGTGACCAAGCTTTTAGCATATGGCCTTTAGGAGATACCCCACCAAACTCTGGGGCTGAAGAAGCCAGTTTCAGGGCTAACTTTAGATTCCATTTTATCCCACACTTGGAAGGGTAGGGGGCTCAACTCTTCTCTCAGTCCTCCTGCCTCCTGGGCATAGGACTTTGATGTCAGATTAAAAAGAAAAAGATTTATTTTATTTTATGCATGTGCACATGTATGCAGATGCCTTCAGAGGCCAGAAGAGAGCATAAGATCCCCTGGAGTTGGAATCCCAGGTGGTTGTGAGCTGCCCGATGAGGGTGCTGGGAATCAAACTCAGTCTTCTGCAAGAGCAGCAAGTACTCTTGCCCACCAAGCCATCTCCCCATCAGTTCTTTCAAAATGAGTGCATGCCTGCACTTGGTACATTCACTTATAAATTATATTCCTGTGCCTCTGCACTAATACTTTATATTCATTATAAGATATAATTGAAATTATTTAGAATCAAAGTGATAAGATAAAATATTTTAGATCATTGCATACATTTAATGGCTCAAAGCATTTTCTGCTCTTGCTAAAAAAAATTTTCGTGCAAACTATGTGATTAGAAATGCTCCAGTTTTCAAAAACAAAGCTTTATGATGCAACGGTCTGGTCCTTAATTCAGATTTTTACGCTTGGTTTTAATTGTTGTTATGGCTGGGAAAGAAAAAAAAAACAGAGAGAAAGATACCCTCCAAAGATGGATTGCTCCAAATGGGAAGATGGCAGTCCCAGGCTGGGCTTGCTAATCCTCACAGTTCTTTTTCCTTCCCATCCACCAATTATGCAAAGTTTTTTGTTGAAATTCAGCAAGCAGATTTCCATCTTCCCTGATGTCAATCAGCGGTTCTTACAAACTAATCAAAAGGTGTTACATTTTTATATTTTTAGCAAATAGGTTCTGGAACACTTGGGAAGATTTTTTTTTTAAATCAGGTTAAAATATTCTACTTCCAAGTTCTTAAAGTTTACATACATAGGAGCTGTAATAGGTGATGTGTATAAAATGCTTTCTGTCAAAAAGAATCACACGACAATGGAAACATGTCCAAATGTTTGTTTTAAAAATACTCTCTTCTGGTTCCTTTTTGGAAAAGAATTTCTCTTTCAGCTATTATTTACATATCAGATGTACTGGAAGGAGTCAGAGAAAATATGTCTGCTTTTGTTTTTTCTTTTCAAAAATCTCTGTTGCCTAAACGCAATGTGGTGTCCTGGATTGGACTGTGGGACAGAAAAGAGATGTTAGTGGAAAAGCTGGTGACTTCCAAATAGGACCTGGAGATTTATTATTAATAATACATCAATAACATTTTCCAGGGTGTCTGTTTGTTTGTTTGTTTGTTTGTTCGTTCGTTTTGGAACAGGGTCTCACTGTGCATCCAGGCTGAACTAGGACTCATGAGCCTCCTGCCTCAGTGCCCTGAGCACTGGAATTATCACAATGCATGGCCTCAGTGTCAAGATTCTTAGTTCTCACAAACCTAGCACGGTTACATTAAAAAGTTGTGTTAGAGGGTCCTCGAGAGGGCTTAGTGGGTAAAGGTGCTTACTAACGCACACATCTAAGGATAAGAACTCAATCCCCGGAAACCAAGTGGTGGAAGGAAAGAATCAATTCTCACTGTGACCTCCTTATGTGCTCTGTGTCACAGGCCTATAATTCCAGGACTGGGAGGTGGAGGCAGGTGGATCAGGATTTCAAGGTCTCAAATTGTTTTTAATTTAGTTTTTAAAAAAGGTTTTAGTTGGAATGTGGGGGTTGCGGGGAGA